AGGTTACAAGAGGGCCTTCAAAGGAGGCTTGGTCAAACTATATAGAATTTAAGAAAGTAATTTCTCAAGTAAAAACATTTTTGTCGAATTTTATTTTAATACATACTTTTATTGGCACAAATATTATTTTCAGTAATATTTTCGATTATAATGGACCGATAAAGAAATTTATTAGATACATTTTGGGTATTTTTAAGCCACGGCTAGTAGGGATGATGGAGATGGATGCTATGTGAAATAATGCACTTATATTGCCCATTTTCAATACCAAACATCATCGGTATCCTCTCCTCTTGTTTCATCAACTAAAAGTTAGCGATATTTGGATGATTAGGTTTCGTCCGTATTACAGATTTGCAATTAACTACTTATCAAAATTTTCATAGGAATTTTTTAAACAATTTTAGTGTTTGCATAAAGTTCTTTCACCAAATTGTTTTAAAAATAGTTTTTACCTTAACAAACATTTGAAAAAAGAAATTATATTGAAATTGTAAACATCTAAAAATGTTTGTGTGACCATCCTAATATCCACAATCATGTTATTTCAACCATGACCACGAATATTTAGTTAATACAAATCAACAACACTATAATTTAAGAGGTTGTAGTTTAAATTTATCATAAAGTGTGCACCTGACATGTGTCATGTTTTTTTCATATATGTATATGTATTTTCATTACCAATCAAATAATGCAAAAAATCAGGAAATTTATGATTGGTCGTTGGCCGCTTAGTTTTGAGATCACTTAAGTTCAAATATTTATGTCTGAAGAATATTTTACTTTCAGGACATATTATTCGGAACCACAGTCAATTCTAATGAACTAGTTTTAAGAATCAAAGTAAGTTAATAGTTAAAATAGTTTTCGTTAAAAATGTAAATGTAAATTGATGTAATAAAAAATGTACTCTTTGTGTACATAAAAACATACCAAACAATTTCTTACAAAAACCCTCTGATCGCCATTTAGTATACAGTTTACATACTAAGTATACCCAATATGCTCGTATTTAATAAAAACAAAAATCTTTTCTGTTCATATTTTGTACATAAGTATTATTTAATTTATGAAAATACGTTTTAGTTTATTTTTTTTTGGGATTATTTGGGGATTAGCACAATATGTTTGGTACATTGACATTTAATATTTTATGAATATTTCTCACATACAAGTAGTTGACAAAAAGATCATAAAAATATATACTTATGTACATATGTATATCCTTGCATATATTTTACATAGTTAAAACAAAAGTACCCGGTACTTTTTTCTACGTATTTCTTGGTCGATATTTATAAGATAGCGATAAAAATGCCATGATGACAAGATGTATACATGTGAGTGAATGTGTTTCGATAAGAAATACAATTTATTATTAAAAGATAAAATGTGGTAAAAATCATAAAAATAAATGTGTAATATGAGCAAAAGAAAACCTAATGACTAGTTTTGTACAATATAATCAAAGTGCTGGTAATTTTGCGATTCTTTTTTATCTTTTGCTCAATTACATTTCATAAAATAGGGACTTTTTTTATTATTTATATCTATTTAATCATAGATTGTTTATTTTAAGTTTAAAAAGAACAAATTACAAAAAATTAAAAATTACATTTAACTAATGTTTGTCGTAAACTGTTTTATTTAATTTTAGCAAAAATATGTGTATTTTCCTAAATTTAAACGTCATATAATTTTGCAATTCTATCTTGTATTAATAACCATGAAACCTAACGCCTACAGAAAATGTGTGTTAAAGAGAAATTAAATCGCCCTCAGCATTAAAATCTCTTCTTAGTTAATCACATAATTGAAATTACCAAAACCCACAACTTAACCCTAATTTGCAACTCTGCAAACAACCATTAAATCTTAAAATTTGATTAAGACAACCGCCCAACTGCCCGGCCATCAGACGACTATCCTTCCATTTTTTTTGCGTACACAGATAGTATCGAGTTTTATCACCTCAAACCACTCAAACATTTTCGCTAAAATAAACATTGATAAGATTACACCTCACAACCAAGAAAACACCTTTATACATCAAATAAGAAAAGGATTAAATACTAAGAAGATTTTAACAGAAAATTGTATTTCTGGCAGAATGCTCAGTGTATGTGTCAGGGTTGAGAAATAAATGTTGGAAATTTTACGAAATTGTAGGAAAATTTTAAATTTACGGACATTTATATTTCAACAGTGTTGCTAGTAGATACGGAAAAGGGGGGTAGAATTACTTTCTGATATACAGATAACTTCGGAACCATTAGATAGTAAATATTGTACGCATTCTAAAATTCAAATCGTTGAGATTAGTTCAGTGACCTGAAGGCAAAAAGTTAAAACTGATACTAATCCCTACTACCCAAGAACTAGTTACAGAACTATGTATATCTGCATCACTAAGGCCTCTGTAGATTATGTCCACTCTATCGGAACTTTAGACAGACATTGCACTATGGACCAGAAAGTGATAATAAAAAATTGAACTATCAATAGAAGTTATCAGTCCTGTCACAGGATTCCATTCCTATCAAAAGAGGATTAACATTTTCTGAAGAAGCACAGTAGAAAGAAAACTATTCCACTTTCTGTGAGAGGATCCAAAATAGCATTATAAGCTAAATATTCATAAAAACACATGTTTGTGACCTTTGACCTCTAATAAATAAAAATGTTTTTAAAAATTTGCGGTCATAAGTATAAATAATAAATTTTTTATTGTAAATGAGTTTTCAATTGAAAAATTAATTGAATTTTTCAGTTTTCAATTGTAGCACAAAAAAGTACCAATGTCAACTATTTGATCTATACCCTGACAACTCTGTTCTATAAAGGCAACAGTGAGTGTGTGTGTGTGTAAAACTGATTGATGCTGTGTTGTTGTATTTTTTATTGTATCATAAAACTGAAACGTGCTTACTACTCACCTTTAACGGATTAAATTCCAGCCAAAGTAATTGACAAGTAATTGAAGTTTTTACCAAACGCTGATGGCGGGAGCAGAGAATGTAACAAAAATATGGAGAGCAGCTTCAAAAATTTGTTTATAAAAAGGTCAAAGTGTTTAAATTATAATTCCGGCACACTTTATTATAACACTCACGTAAATCCAATACAAATATTTAATCCAAATTGAAATACTGGAATATTTCTCACAAAAAAACACTTGATTTTATTATGGTTTTGTTTATTTCTGTTTTCTACACTATTTTCTAACACGATTTTTGCACACTTGAAATATTAGCTTGTTTGCTTGTTAGGTATAAACTTGTCAGATTATTTGTTTAAATTTGTTTAGTATTTTTCTATAAAAATTTTCTGTATTATTTTACTTCACTTTAATTTATTATAAATAAAAACACTCGCGTTTTATTTTATAAAATGAATCTCAAATAAACCGTTAAATGAGCTTCTCACGATATAATTTCTATGAATTATTTTACTTCTTACAACAAATAATGCACGACGATACGTTACGGATAAGCGGCAGACAAACGTCTAACATGCACAAAATTCCAAAACAGAGTGAAGTTATAATTTTGTATTTTGCATAGCTTTACTACTTACTTGCCCTAACCTAACTAGAATTTAATAAAGCGTTAGTGAGAGTTTGAGTGGATTTTATTTGAATTTAATGAGAGTTTGAGTGTTTTATTTAAAGGCGCATATGTTTTCTACTCATTTCTCTGTTATTGTTTTGTATTTGTTGGCGGTGTGTGTGCCAGTATCGGTTTGTTTACATTTCATTTTTGTATTTACCCTGCAGCTTTGAATATTGTATATCTTAAGTTTACACAAAGTGTAGTAAAATTATTTTGTATGAACTCTAAATTTCTAAAATCTATTTATACAATAGCATCAATAGCTCTACGAAGAAGATGCCTTATGAATCAGAAAGTGTTTTTATAACTCATTAGTAATAAGACGTTATAAGACTTGATGTAATTTAATGAGTAGGATGCAAAGAAGGTATGAAAAGCACGAAATGCTTAGCCGCGAAGACGACTAGTGTGCACCTCCAGCTTTAAATTAATGTTTTTACCGAAGTTTTACTCCTTTACAATGTACTCTAAGAGCTGCAGGGCAATGAAAATAAAATTGAGTCAATTTAAAATAAATGAGAAATAAAATACGAGTATTGTGTTGCCATATTATTTTGTAGCAGGAAATGTTTGTGATAATTTTTATGGGGAAATCCTAATAGTAAAAACAGTTGGGTTCTTTATTTTTGTTTGAAATATCTTTGAATGTACTTCTACTAAATAAATCTTGTAGATTTTTTAAATAAAATTTCTGGAAATTTCTTTCAGAAACCCCGTCAAAATAGTTTTTATAAAAAATTGTAGATAGGTATATTTTCATGTTAAAAATCCTGGAAAACTTATAGCAAAGCCCGAATTCCACTACTTATAAAATTCATAAATATTTTCTTAACAGAATTCACAAAATTTTATTTTAAACAATTTCTTAAAAAAAAACTTCATAGAAATATTTTAATTTAAATCTCTTGAAACCAAAAACCACTCGGTCAAGTTTTTTAATATGAGATTTAATCGAAATTTCTTTTAAGTGCTTGTCAAACACCTTAGAAGTACATAAATTCGTAGTTAAATTAATCAAACAAAACAGTTTGAAATATTTGCTTTAAAAAGTTCTCCGATTTCTTTCAAAAATTTCTTTCTCGTCATACATTTTTCTAAAAAAAACTCTAAACAGACATTTTCAAAAATATTACTAAAGACTCGAGAAATTTTATATTTAAAAAAAACAGATTAGATATTTTTTTATATACTATTTGATAAAAAAGGATCATGACTGAAACGATCTAATTTATAAAAATATACAATTATTTTGTTTACCAAACAACGTCTTTTCTATATTTTAAATATTTTATTTTTTAAATATTAATTTAAATAAAAATTTTCCTTCAAAATATTTTTATTACAAATCGAAAAAAATCAATATCCTTTGTATTTAGCATATATTTTCCGAGCGATTACATCTATTATAATCATACACATACTACAACATTGAAAAACAATTTGCGAATCACCCTCTACAACGTTAAACACAACAAACCATTTTGAACCAAAGACGAATTTATAAAAGACTGACCTCCCAGTCCATAAGTATGAACGAGGACAATCACAAACAACCCAACAACCCCACAATTGGTAGACAAAAAGTACAAGAATGTACATCATAATATTTACCAATTAAGCAAACATACCGCAAAATTTTTCAATAACAGTCAAATAAGTGACAGAGTTGGAAAGGAATTTATTCTTATTTGCATTGAAAAGAAATAATGTTACTTGAATTAAATTTTTTAAGGATCAATTTGGAGGTATCGACAAATAAATAGTGCAGTCTTCAATCTTGGTATTGCAACAAGGACACAAGATCAAGATAAATCTGTTTTATGGACTGAATGCAAAAAGTGAGTTCTGATTCTGACCAATTAAAAGTCTTATATGGAAAACGATACCGATCAAAGGTCTATCCAAAGGAATCGAATTTTCATGACTTTAGCACACAAATCGACTGAAATGACTAACGCCTGAACGTTATTAGGTTAAAGTCCTAAGATGTTAAAACGAACATTCATATTTTTTGATAGATTCCTCGAAATTAGCGTAGCGAATACTTAGCGTGTAAACTGAACCTTAGCAAATTTCCGGAATCCTTTGGTATAAAATTAAATTACCATTTCTGTTATAAGCAAATTATTGGTTATGAGGAAATAATACCTTTAAATGAATGCGTTTTCCAAATGACCCAACGTTAAGGTGTAAACACAATGTTTTAAACAAGGATAGTCATGTTAATCGTATAATATACATACATATGTAGCAATGTTCGTGTGGTCATAAAGGTAGAAGTAGTAGATTTTTTTGAAATTTAACTGTACTATGTGGTAGACATTGTAGTCGAATGTAATGCTAACAAAGGCAAAACCAAATGAAGTATTTCGCAAACCATTATTCCCATGCCTGATTGGCAGCCAAATATAAAGCGAATAATGTTTGTGCACTTAATAAATAGTCCGCTTGTGTCTCGAGTGGTCCCTCAATAGCGAATTGTTGACACAGAATACGTACGTAGTCGACGAGTGTGTGCTGTTCGGTTAGACATTGTTGATAAGCTTCCTGTACGGCGCCTGTGGCTTCTGCATACGAACGTGGCCAGTCAATTATCATGTTTTCAATATCCTTGCGGGGTTGAGCATCGTAAACAGATTGAGACATATGAACTTGTTCAACTTCATTTATCCACTTATCGATATCTTTGGTCGATTTAGCAAAGGGTACCATTTGGGCAGAGGTGGAGCGAGAATTTTTGCTACTGCCCGTTAAAGCAGAGCGTAGTTTCATATTGAGCAGACTCGGTTCACTTTGGGTGCCAGAGGGTTCATCTAGGAAATATAAGCCTAATTTCTGTAGATGCTCTTGCATTTCTTTAGATCGTTGCGGCTTTAAAAGCGGCGGTTCGGTTACCTTAAGGAAGGCATCGACATCTCCTACAGCTGGTACATACTCGGGTATAAAAGGTTGCAAATGATAGGGAGTTTCTATATGTTGTGGAGTATACTTTAAAATATAGGGGAATAACTCCTTAATTTCCGGATCCAAAGCTAAATGTTCCCATTTATCGGGTGTTATGGAAATTTGGGTTTCCGAGGTGGTGGCATGGCCCATGGCTGCGCCCTTAAAACGATGACTTCCCTCTTCGGATTCTGTTTCCGAGGGTTCCGTGTCCATATCTAAAGCCTTAGCTGAAGGTAAATTCATAATTCTCGAAGTACCAGGAAGGCCATGAGAACGTGGTAAATCATTGTGTCTCGCTAATTTATGTTGTTGCTGTTGCTTATCTAATGGTTGTATGGCTGGAGCATTTCCTATTTGCAAATCACTATCTTCATCTTCATCATCTTCGTCGTCATGATCTATGATGTCTTGCAATAAACCATCATCATCCGTTGAATTGCCACGTATCTGCAGTAAATTTCATGAAAGAAGTCAATATTTGTTATATCATTACAGTACTCCAAATGGATTGTTGTCTTATCACTTACCACAGTCCTTTGTCTACTTCTATTAACCATTGAAATACCACCCTGTTGTGACAATGAGCTACCGCTGGCCGTTGGATTTCCTTTGTCACTATTACTTCCTCTGCTAGAGATGCGCTCCACCTTGATATTGCTGTTGGGTGGTTTAATGTCACCACCGTTTATGGTAATCTCTTCATCATAGTAATTCATTATGTGGCTGTCTTATGGAGTAAGTAATTGGCTTGTTTTATTGTAGAAGAGTTTATCCCTTTCAAAAGCTGTGTTGTTTTTCAAATACTTCCTATTTTCTTCTTCTATTGTTTATGTCTCGAAACTAAGGAAATTTTCTATTTCAAAAATAATGTACGTATTTTCACAATATGTAATTAGCTGGTGTATGTTTGGCAAAAACACAAATTATATTCTTACCTAAGTCGGATAAGAAGAACATTTGTTTACACTTTACCGGGTTTCCCTGGTTACCATTAAGTTGAAGGAAAGTTTTTATTGAAGTGAAGAGTGTTATATTTAAAGGGGTTGCTTAGTCTATAGAGTTGTATTTGTACTTTAATTGAGTTTAAATAAAATTTTATAAATAAATATTATAAAAAATGTAAAAACGTATAAATATTTATTTATAAAATCTATTTAAAACCTATGAAAATTGAGCGAATAGATTTTAATAATATATTCACGAAACCTGCTTCAAAATGTTTCTGTGTATGAATGGTTTATGCGAATTTTCAAAAACTACTTTTGTCCAAAAAACTATTTTACTGGTTCTGTCTGGTAATAATTATTTCAAGTCAATTATTGTTTATTTTTTATTAATCACTTTAAATAAATCAGTCAAAATGCTTTATTTCTATCGGTTATTTATATAGATATCAGCGATAGCCTAGAGGATTGATTAAATTTAATGAACTAAAATTAATTTTAAATGTCTTACATTATTTTAAAATACTCTGGAAATTTCCTTGGAAAAATCAATTAACTTAATCGGTTACCTGCGTACTAAAAGTAGATCATTAAAACCCTTTTTCCACAAATCGAATTTAAAAATTAGTTTTTATTATTATTACAAACGCTGTAGTTGTACATTCATTGTTTTTGCCTGTCTGTGTTTTGAATTTGATGGATTTTGGAAGAAGATTATTAAATTTTTTGGAAATAATTTTATCAAATCTATCGAAGGATTATATTCAATAAAGTCTATCATCTTAAATAGCACAAGTTTTCACGAGAGCCAAAAAATATTTATTTCACTCATGAAATTTTTTTTATTAGTATCTAACGGGCGATATCTGCAAAACCATTAGGTCTATTTTAAATACGGGTTTGTGTTCAGCAAGGCTTGTTTTACAACAGAAAATTATTAAAAATAATACAGTATAAAGCAATTTTTGGGGTTATGCATTCAAACAATTTTCTGTTAAGAAGATATAGGAATTTCAAAATACTATAAAATTGCAAAAAAAATGTGTTAAATATTTAATTATCCAAGATTATTCAATATACGATGCGGAAGTATTGACACGTGGAAGTACTTTGGAGACAATTTTTAATGATTCGACGAAATACTAGAAATTTTGACATAAATTTCACCTCCAACTCTTCTCTCCTTATTGGCTTCTTGGAAAGACCTGTGTTTTTAAATATAAGACAAAGTCTAAATATGTAGATTCAATACCACGTCCGTTCATCTTGTTGGACTACTACGCGTTCTTGAAGCATATACTGCAAATAAATTAACACCTACACTGGTGCATATTCCTATAAACGCACATCACTTTTTTTCAACAAATTAGAAAAAGTGGGCATTAGTTGCGTAAACTATGCGGGCCATGTACAACCACAAGTTCTCCATAGGATTTATGTACGGACTGCATGCCGGCTAGTCCAAGAGGGGAGTGCTATGTTCATGAAACCATACTTTTGGTTGCTTAGAAACATGGATTGCTGCATTATCGTGTTGAAATATGCAGTCGTCTTCCATTTTTCATCCATAAATGAAATGAGACCATCTTCATTATAAATTTGGCTGTTCATTTTTGTTGGAACGAAGCGTATTTTTGAATTTCCAACTGCAGAAAAAGCTGCCCAAACCATCACACTCCCTCCACCAAAATTGCGATTTGACATACCTACGTCGTTTGACCTCAAATCATGCCAATAGTAAGAGTATGAATCTGGGCCATCTAAATAAAAGTTTTTTCATCTGAGGCAATTACTTTTTTCCCCTCATCTCCCAATTTCATTTATTTTCATGCAAATTTGAGTCGGTTTTCTTTATGCTGATTTTTAAGCATTGGCTTGCACTTGGGTTTCTTCCATTTTATGTTACCATCTGTTCATAAAATGTGTGCAACGTGTTTGGAAGTCCCAGGAAGGTTAAGTTTAGTGATTATTTAAGTTGCAATTAATTTATTGCGGGCTGGCTCTTGTTTTATGAGATTAAACTATCATCTTGTTAATTTTTTATTTCCTTTTGTAGGTTTTCGTATTCCATATTTTGGACCTTTCTTGATAAAATTGGGAACAACACCTTCAAAACGTCCAATTTTGCGAGAAATTTCTCTATTAGAGCACTTTTGGTTACGAAAAAATTGTATTTAAATTTTTTCCTGGTCAGAAAGAAAAGTTCCCTTGGGCATCGTTTAAAGTTATGAAATTTTTCGATAAAAACCGGAAATGAAAATTTTGCTACAAAAACATAACTTTAGTTGAAAAAAAAAAATAAAATTGTTCAAAAAAATTTCTTTGTACACTTTTTAAAAACAAAATTCGCGTCTGCGTTTATAAGAATCTTCCACTTAAATTAACAGCAAGATCATTTTATTGCCTTGTAAAGGAATAGAGCAGAAGTGAGAAAAACGATTTGCTTACATTTAAAAAATACCGCCATGTCGCTTCTCATTTAGAGTCTTCAACATTGCTTTTGCACAAGAACAACAAATATATAACAAAAAAGGAGAAAAAAATTAAGTGCGTTTATAGGAATATGCACCAGTGTACATATTTAAGGAATGTTAAAAGCAAAATGATTCGAACTCTCTTATAAAAACCTTACTACAACACAGGCATTTAACTTTTGCCAACAATTTGCACATCTGCTATATGATTTTGACTTATGAAAATTTTCTCTTAAATATTCCAATAACAGTTCTTAAATCAACAATTGTTCTATTTTACTTTGTTTCTATGTATATGTATGTATGTGAATTTAAATTCACACTTTTAGTAAATGAAATGAACAAAATCTAACCGAAAGTGCAACATTGTACAGAATTGGGCCACTAAAACAATTTGGACAACAAATGTATAACAGAGTAACTTCACAATAACTGCGAAATACAAATGTATGTACTACGTGTAAAAAATTGTTTACATACATACATGTATGTATATAAAGTCAAATCAAAATAAAACTCCGGTTAAAATCCTCCAAAAAGCAGCAAAAACTAAAACAAACAATGGAAATTTTATTTTGGTGTGGACACTTGCGAATACTTAGTTTAATAGTACAGAGCGAATTAAACTAAAGGATGCCTTGGCACTTTGAGTCATACACAGTCCATTATTGCACCAACAATGGCCTGCAATTGCAAAACAATTTTAAATACGGCTAAAATAAAACAAAAGCCCCCAACTAAAACTATGTCTACTAAATGCCAAATTGTATAAAACGGCTAAAATATAAATAAAATACCTACTATTTTTTAGATTTTGTATACAGTTTAGAAAGAACAAAAAATTTAATAATGGCCGCAAGTGAAATTAAAAGTTTCATAGCATCACATCATATTTATTAAAGCAAAAGTTTTTAAATTTAAAATTAAACGGTTTTTAATAAAAAAAACTAAATTTTTTCATTGAAATTAAATAGAGTGAGGTCATTATTCAGTTTTAATTTTAATTTAGATTTTTTTCGTTAAAGCCTATAATATAGCATATTGTTTTAATCTATAAATATCCTTAAAAAGGTAAATAAACATTTATAGAGATTGAAATTAACTCACACAACAACAACAATTCAGTGCCACACACGTTTCAATATTTGAGTTTTAAATAATAAATACATTGTAATTTCCATGATGCGACTATAAATTATTGAACAAAAAATACCAAAACAACTAAATAATTGAGGTACGTGATTGTTTTGTTATTTAGATTAAATTTTAAAGGTTTCAATTAAATATGCATGTATCTGCTTACGCATGTATGGATGGTGTGGATTAACTGACACATTAATTGGTTTATTTACCGTAAATAAAGAGGTGTTTGATTGTGGGAATCACCACAAATTGATTCACTTCTCAGCGTCCATATGTCTATTTAAAATATTTACCGTTTTAAAGAATAATAGATGATATCTGAGCTTATATATAAAAGGGCAAATTATGGCACTCGAAAGCTATCGAAATTTCTATTTGAATCCATTTGAATTTCATTGAGATTACGATCGATATCAAATAAGACGATTTCTTAATTATCTTCCAGTTGATTTATTCTGGTCACCAAGCAGTAGTTCAGCCACATTTAATCTGATAGCGTCTTTCCAACCTTTAACTGTCCTGATTGAAACTCTTTCGGTTATCATCGCAAAAATATTTTTTAAATATTTTGCCGAATTCAACGAACATTGAATAAAATACAGAGCAATGAGCTAAGTCACGAAAGGTATTGATCTATTTTCTTCTTGATTTAATTCTCTCAAATATTTTTGGCCCAAGTGGAGGGGAAAAAATTAAAAAGCTTTTCATTTTCACCATCAATTCTTAGAGACAATTATAAAATAAAAATCAATTCTTAGTTTACCTATATACGATCCAAAGAAAAAATGTGCAAAATTTTGTATATATAATTTTTTTACATAAATCTTATAAAATTCAAACTAAATAGCTAACGTCATTTTTTTAGCTACTTAACACTTTTTAAAATTAAGTTAAATTATAATCATACATACAAACATGTAATTTAGTTTTTTAATACCATTAGACTCGTACGTCAGTGTCAAATAGTATGTATGTATGTATGTATGTATGTTATGTATGTATGTATGTTATGTATGTTATGTATGTATGTATGTATGTATGTATGTATGTATGTATGTATGTATGTATGTATGATTATGTATGTATGTTCTGTTTATGTGTCTGTATGTATGTCTGTATTTATGTATGTCTGTCTGTATGTGTCTTTGTTTCTGTCCTGTCTGTCTGTCTGTCTGTCTGTCTGTCTGTCTGTCTGTCTGTCTGTCTGTCTGTCTGTCTGTCTGTCTGTATGTCTGTCTGTCTGTCTGTCTGTCTGTCTTATGTCTGTCTGTCTGTCTGTCTGT